TCTTCAGTGTTTACCACACTAAGACTATTGTGCATGGTGCTTTTTCAATTTTCATCTAGTCCAGGATTTCCATTTTATCTGTTGGGTTTATTATCTGAAGAATAATGAACACTTACCATAACTAAATTTAGAAAAAAAAAAACAAACCCAACCCATTTGTTGATCTATGAATAGCTCACTTTTTAAGATGTACAAATTTCTTCTTCCTTTCATGTTTCTAACATACTGTTTTATAATGCTGATGTTGAAATAGCTCTGTGTAACATCTTGTAAATCCATTTCCAAGTAGAAGTCAAGTTTACTTCCCAGAGGAAGGAGCACTGAAAACCTCTTGAAACGATAAAACCATTTGTGTGTGTTCTTGAACTGTCAGTATCAAGACGTGTTACTTATATATTACCCATTCACTTTATAATTTTGTCTGCGAAATATTTTGTAAATACACTTTTTTACTTTTCAAACAACTGAGTAAAATAATGTGCAATGACTTTTATACAGATAATTTTAAAGTTGGTTGGTATATCTCCTCCTAAGTTTTGCTTGATTCCAAGTAGATTATTATTTGATCAAACTGTGCAAGCAGTAGTATCATGTGTAGCATTTTGAAACATCATTTTCTAAAAATTGCTGTCTTGCTTTAGCTATTAATGGGGCATTGTGAGGAACTGTGCAAAGACATTTTTGTTACAAACCTGTGGGACTGTTGCAATACTTTAAATATAAAATTTTATTCCATTTTTGCTTGTTTTGTATAGACATTTCTATTGCTTCTAAATATGCTTAAAATATTTTCTTTCCTTACGTACTGTACAGTTAAATCTTATTTGCCACCATCTTGATAAAATGTGTATTTAGAATATTTGTATAACTGTATAAAATGGAGAAGGAATTATGTGGTCAGTGCATTGTTTTCTAAACTGGAAATCATTTTGTTTTAGAAGTTAATAATGGAAACCATATTAAAGTTGAATAAAACAATATGGTAAAAAATTATATAGTTTTTTTTTAATGTTTACCCTCAGTTGCAGACACCTTTGTTTCCCTTGTCTGGCACACCCAGTAATATAAACAAGACTACTCAAATAAGAGTTAAGAATCCAGCTTAAACTTTAGGATCTAAAACCTCAGTAGCAATTCTTAGAGGCCTTCCCCAAACCAGAAGATAAATATTTCCAGTTTTCCATTAGTCAGAACAGGACTAAATTTTAAATTTAGAGTCCAGAGTAGCTTTGAAAAATAGACCAAAACTTTATTTACATCAAGGAACCTGAGTGCCTTCTCCAGATAGGAATTTATTACAGTCAAGACACAAGTCAGCCTGTTAAATTTCACATTATACAGTACAATGTAAAACCCACACCAAGCAGAATAAAAACTATTAAATATATAATGGAACATCCACAGATGGCAATGCACTTGTATGCAAAGTAGCTAAAAAAATAAACCATCAAGGCATAAAACTTTGCCTGCTCTTGCATTCAAGCATTGGTCGTGTAAAGAATAAAAGTGCAAATGCGAGGAGTGTGAGTGCTTGCCGTACATTCCAGTACTTGGCAGTTCTACGGAGATAAATAAAGTATTAAATAACACTTAACTGCAAAAGGTTACCTTTCACTCTGGAGCAGAGTGCTCATCTGCACATTCCTGGTTTTATGGACAAAAATAGGATTCTTATCAAATTCAGGTATCTAATCCTTGGATCGCAGCTCTCATCCTCAACAGAGAGATTAAATTTCTAGCATAAGCAGGGTTACAGTAACACAATACAGTTTGTTTCAAGTAGTTTCAACCCCTAACATGCAAGTATTTAAACTTTCTGGAGGGCCTGCAACTTAAAAGGCACTGTAAATAGATCCGCACTGTAAACAGACCCTCGCTAACTATATGCCAGGAAGCAACTTACTCGGAAAGGATATTAAACATGTGAAAACTAACACTCGCTGTCTAAAAACAAGCCTTGAGGAACACCAAATCCAAGAACAGGGGAAAGCTAAGCCTTCAACAATAAGGGTGCCTAGAATTGCTGTGAGCTGGACCCAGAAATGTTCTAGAACTTGTTTTAAACTTGAATGGCTTCAAAGATTTAATTTTCATTCAAGGACAGCTCCTGCTATTAAAAAGCAGGCTGGTTAGGGGATAAGGAGAACACTATGTGTCAGTACATCCCAGTTCGAGTTTGAGACGAGAATTAAGACCTTGAAGGCTCCGAGTCACGGCTAAGATGACTCTAAATTTATTTAGATGTCATTCAGACAAAGGTCTACAGGCATCAGTAGGACATGATTCTGCATGGTATCATTCAAGATAATTCTGCAAGTTCCATTTACAGCTACTACTTTTTGGATCTCTTATTTTTGGGAAAAGGCTGCTCTTATCTTGGCATTCCAGCCTGTCGCTCCATTCCTACTACACAGGCCTCCTGCATTTTAAGGGGGAAATGGGAATGAATTCAAGTTATGCAGTAATTAATCCAGGCAATTAAAAAAAAACAAAAATCTATGCTTTGGGCAAAATTTTTACATTTGTTGGGAAGACATTGGTCAGAAACACAAATAAGTGTGTGCATATACATAGTAAATAAGCTTCAAAAAGGTTACAAGGTATTTCCCAATGAAGTTTTGATTTAATTTTCTGGGATTTTTAGTACTCAATTATGTAAGACACGTAAACTATCCCTGAGAACAAGCTTATGTGCAGGACACTCCAATATGGAGATTCATCAAAAATTAGTGTATGAATTGAGGATTTTTAAAATCTTCCTGGTTGCCTGGTGTATTTCTTTAAATTATTTTCTTCTGGCAACAAGATCTCGGGTGTGGGGAAACTCCGTTACACTGACGTCAATGCAGGTAAAGCCCATGGATTGCAGCTGCAATGAGGAGCTGCCACAGAAGTTTCCATATTTTTCATTGTGTGTCCTGCACTTTCCCCCTCCCCATCCACCAGCGAGATTTGTCCTCCCTGCCAGCAAATACCGCCTGCTTTCCACACACACAGCAGTTCCTGCAGTGGGCAGGAGGAAAAATGGGAAAAGGAAAAATTATGAAATGCTCGCTGGATCTGCAGTCATTCCACATGTGCCTACCACACATTTGTTACCAGGGCAAACCAACTGAGCACACAAGGTCACACTGGCTCGCTCCTGTCACCTGCACCTAGGGCAGGACTTGGCCTGGAATTTAAAAGCATTTACCATCATTGTAAGCAAAGAAGAGAAATCCTGTGCCACAGGTGAAGCAAGGCCTCATTTTAAAGTGCAGGTTTATACATTGCACTGGAAAAATTGCCACAGGAGGAATCTGGCAAAACCACAATGGCATTTAAGTACCAATGGCAGGGGGAGAGGGACACCCTGCAACATGGGAAGATGCGAACAAAACAAAACAAAACAAGGCATTTTGGTGCAAGTTGATTCCAGCTGCTCACTAACTTCTCAGAAAAAAGCAAAAAAGCCATGCAATTCTAGGTTACACATTTGGAGGACAAGAGAGGGAGCAAAACCAAACCTGACATACAGGGAACATCTAAGGTTCTATGCTATGGTAGAATCATAGAATCAACCAGGTTGGAAAAGACTTCTGAGATCATCAAGTCCAACCCTTGATCCAACACCACTAGTGGTTACTAGACCATGGCACTAAGTGCCACATCCAGTCTCGTTTTAAAAACCTCCAGGGACAGTGAATCCACCACATCCCTGGGCAGCCCATTCCAGTGTCTGATTACTCTGTAAAAAATTTCTTCTTAATATCCAACCTAAACCTCCCCTGGCAGAACTTAAGCCCATGCCCTCTCGTCCTGCTGCTGGTTGCCTGGGAGAAGAGATCAACCCCCAGTTGGCTACAACCTCCTTTCAGGTAGTTGTAGAGACTGATGAGGTCTCCCCTGAGCCTCCTCCAGGCTAAACAACCCCAGCTCCCTTAGCTTCTCCTCACAGGACTTGTGCCCAAGTTCCCTCACGAGCCTTGTTGCTCTTCTCTGGACCCGCTCCAGCACCTCAATATCCTTCCTGAACTAAGGGGGCCAGAACTGGACACAGCACTCCAGGTGTGGCCTCACCAACGCAGAGTACAGGGGAAGGATCACTTCCCTGCTCCTGCTGATCACACTGTACCTGATCCAGGCCAGGATGCCATTGGCCTTCTTGGCCATGTGGGCACCTGTGTTACACCTAGAGCTCTTTCATTAGTAAATGAAACCCTTAGCAAGAAAAATACTAATAAAAGTGCATAGTTTAAAAAAAAACAAACATGAGCACACTCTGATCACCCAGCCTTAAAAAAAAAAAAAACAACACTTAAGAGTAATCTTGGCATTTGTCAACTTGAAACTCCAAATTTGTTGGGAAGCAGGTTTTGCCATTGGCTACTATTCCTTTTTTTTTCTTTGCCTCTTACAAGGGCTCACTGGTGTGACTGCTCCTGCCCGGGTCTTCCTCCTTAGCAGCAACGAACCTACACATGTAAGCCACAGCTTCTCTGCTAATGTCATCCCCCAAAGAAACCCAAATGGCACCAATCCCACTGGGCAGGAGCAAGTAGTCACACAGTACAACCAGAAACATTTGTCTCATTGATAATTCCCGCTCCTAAAATTTTCATTTTAACACATTACTTTGTGAAAGTCTTGGCACAGGAAGCCAGAGAAGTTGTTATAACCTTAATTTTAACAACTGGCTTAAAAATAACACATTCCTATGCCAATACTATATATTAAGTAATCTCTTTTAGCTAAAGGGAGCCAACAAGAAAGATGGAGAGGGACTTTTTACAAGGGCATGTAGTGACAGGACAAGGAGGAATTGATTCAAACTAAAAGAGAGTAGGTTTAGATTAGATATTAGGAAAAAATTCTTTGCAGTAATGGTGGTGAGGGACTGGAGCAGGTTGCCCAGAGAAGCCATGGATGCCCCATCCCTGGAAGTGTTCAAGGCCAGGCTAGATGGAGCTCTGAGCAAGTTGATCTAGTGGAAGCTGTCCCCACCCACAGCAGGGAGGTTGGAACTAAGTGATCTTTAAGATCCCTTCCAATATAAACCATTCTATGATTCTATGATAATTTTATCACCTTCCACATACATTTACTGATTTCAGTGGTAGTGCCATAATCAAAATCACAAATACTTTAGGTTATTTAGATAACTCACTGCTGTTGAATAAGTCAGAGTTGTGCATTAGAGCAGATTAACAATGACCCATTTTGTGCCTCTTCAGCCTAAACTGCTTTGAAGTGATCCAAAGGCATGGTTCCACTCCTAAGAAATAATTTCCATTTTTTTCTCATCTTGGTGATAAAACTAGGAATTTATATATTTTGCCAAAAGGTTATTCAATTTACAGCCGCTGGACATCACCTGAAATTTTAACTGATTTCCAGATCACACACAACTTTCAAATGCAATAAAAATATTCCTCTTTCACAAGGTAGGAAAGTTCAGCATCACAGATAACAGTTCTTCTCTCATGAAAATATTTTGTGACAAAGCACCTCGGACCTGCACCTTTCACCCATCCCAAAAAACTGAGTAGTCTGAGCAGTCCCCTTCTTTCCCAGTTATCACAGCATATCATACTCAGATGCATGCCTCACACTTAGAAAACATCTCTTAACATTTTAACAGTTTTGGCATAGCCTACACATTTATCATGCTACCCCATTCACATCACTGAGGACCTGCCCAGTCTGGGACACATCGCTGCAGGCTGAATTTCCATTTAAAAAAAGTGAGAGTCAGCTTTGACTTTAATCACTCTTCTCCCAGTCAACATTCCCATTTTGTCTCCCAGGGGAGCCACCAGTAACCACTGGAGAATCACCTGATACATTGTCCAGATGGGGCTGGAGAGTGACTTGGGCTGGAGAGTCCGCTGGTATCTTATGGGAGGTGTCTATCAGAGAGTTTTCGAGCTTGTCATTCATTTCTATTACCTCAAAGTCTGCTTTGTTCCACTCTCTCACATCCTCCTCATCGTCCTCATCCTCTTCATCCTCAGTAAGCCTTGAGTTTGACAACAAAGCTTTCTGGGTCTCACTGTCACTCACTTCTTTCAAGTCGTTCTCGAGGGGAGAGGTGGCCAATTTGTACATCACTGGGAAGAGTACAACTGTCATTACAGCAGACATGAAGGCAGTGTACATAACCACAGGAACGTGGTGAAACCTGCCTTGGAGATAGCCCACCACGCCAGGAATGCACATCTCGCCCAGCGCGGCGCCGATCACAAACAGAGAAGCCGATTTTCCTTCCACAACTGTGTACTGTTCTACCCAGGAAATGCCACTGGGGAAGACGGTGGCCATTGATGCTCCATACACGGCACTTCCCACCCACAGGGAGGCTCGGTAATGTGCAAAGAAGGCCAAGGCTGAAGAGGAGACAGCAGAGGCTACGAGACTCAGCGTGATCATGGTGCCAGGGTACAGGAAAGCAGCACCAAATATTGCCACTCCTCTGCAAGCAGCAAACGCACCCCAGAAGACAGAATTCAAAGCAGCTGCTTCACTTTCTGTCATCTCAGCAAAGACTATTGCATAAGTAAATACATAAGAGCCATAAGTGACCTCTGCTCCCACATAGAAAAGAAAGAATATGAACAGGAGACCAATTAGAACCCAGTGGTATTTGGCAAGCTTGCCCTTCTGCTGAGAAGTCTTTGATTTGTCACGAGCTGAGCTGCTCTTTGAATACAAAAAAAAAAGGAAGAGGGAAACTAAGAGAAGATAGGTCCCTATGACAACATAGGACCACAAAAAGTCTTCCTCAAGATGGTCTTGCAGTGCTGGTGTAGCTGATGCAGCCGATGCTGTCGGCACAGACTTCAGGACAGATTGGTTTGTCTTTTCAGCCACTGGACGTTCTTCAGATTTGGAACCTCTCAAAGCCATTTTAGCCAGGATCGGAGCCAGAAATGCACCGGCAGCAAAACTGAAGTGTAAAGCCTGCATGTGTGGCCCAGCCTCTGCTCCCCAGGTATTCAGTAGCAGTACATTGCCACCTGCAATTGGAGAGAGGAGGATTCGGTCATTTTAGTCTGAGACCAGATACTGTTTTAAAGACAAAAAAAAAAAAAAAAAAAAAAAA